AACTGTCGTTCTCTGTTTAGTTGTAGCTGCGTTAATGCGGACGTACTTCCGGTTATATATTCTTGAAATAACTTTTTCGTTATTTGACTGAATTAAACTGTCGTTCTCTGTTTAGTTGTAGCTGCGTTAATGCGGACGTACTTCCGGTTATATATTCATATTGTCATGCTGTAACAAACACTTCCGATTAATTAAGACTACGTCTACGTGCCATTTGTAAAAGTAGTTTCTCATGCCTACTGTACCTCAACCATCTACCAAGCAACGCGTCTACAGTAGAGGCAAGTATTCTCTAGGCAACAATAATTCAACTCTACCAAGAAACCTAGATAAAATATTAAATAATTAATTACTAATTAAATATGATATGTATGTATTGACGATTTAAAGGTAACAAGTTGATATTGTACATATTCACTAAATTATTTATTTGCTACGTATATGTTCCCCGGTGGCTCACAACACTAAAAATCGAGTTTCGACAATAAACAAACTCGCACACACTCATTTCAGTTAGTACACCTTGAGTCAATAATACGAAACATTTGTACATTCAACGGCGTTAAATAAGTTTCAGCTACATGTTTTAAATCTATACATTTTTTTAAAGAGTGACATAACTAAATCTATTAAAGTAATAACAATGACTTAATAAATCATCCCGAAGGTACAGCTTCATTATGATAGTTTGGTTCAAGCAATCAAGCTACATTGGAATTCAGTAGTTTTTATATAATGTTTTAAGTTCTAAAACTCACACTTACCTGTGACTAATAATATTTGATATCGTTATGCAGTTCGTTAACCCTATGTATATGTAACCCTACATATACGAGTTTATTACGGATTTAGTTTTAATGATTTAAAAAAAAAAGTTATAAGGTAATTCCTTGGTAATTAAGTAGTCCTACCTGCTTGCTTGCCTGGTAGGACTTTGATTTTATTTTAAAATTTACCAAGGATGTTCATAAACAACGGTTTCCTTTCATCCTTGATAAATTTTTTAATTTATTTCAAGATTAACTGAATTGATTTAAATAAATTTTATATATTGGCATTTACAGGCAATATTTCTAATGCTGTAAATGCCATGAATAGTAGTATTTAAATAATACCGAGAATACTTTTAATTACATTCATTTAACACGTATTTATTATTATGACATATCTAATCAAATAATTTTGAAATGACATTAACTTCTGCAAGGTTATCCCGTACAATACCTGCACTACGATGGACACATTGAAAAATTTGTCTTGGGACACTTTTTTGTTCTAAACAACATTGTGCATGCATTAAGAATTTATCAGATGTGTAATTTCTTTTCAAACACATTGTTCTACTATATTAAAAGTAAAAACCACAAAAACCGACGTTTTTTTGGCACAATGAAAGGAAAAGTTATTAGTTACAGCGGACTAGTTTCGGTAGACATTAGCCCTGATGGTTGTAACTGTTACCAAAACTAGTTGGCTGTAACTGATAATTTTACCTCTCATTGTGACAAATAAAAAAAAAACGTCCGATTTTTGTGGGGATTTTTAACTTTTAATATTATCAGATATGTATTGAGTTACTTCTGTATTAAAGCAGTGTTAAAACTCTTTAAATTAAAAGTGAAAATTCGCCGCCTGGGCATTTTACACCTGAGTTTGATCCATAATAAACATTCGTTTTTCCAATAAATTTGTAACATTCATGTGGCCCTCTTTAATATCTGAATGAATGTCCCGAATAAAAAAGTGATATTGCTTAAACTAAACAGGACTAAACAGATGTTTCATTTATTGTTTAACTATAAGAAAAACAATAATTAAACTGATTTCATTTGTCTCTGTTATATTTTCTTTAGTATCATTTGTATAGTAACTATTGCCCTACCCTGTTTATTGTAACGTCCTCGTCGGCTGTAGGTTAAGCTGTACAGAGCGTATTGATAAAAGTCTACGTAATAAACACTGAAATTATTCAAGTTACGTTTAATCGTGTAGAACAGAACTTGTAATTTACATAATTGTTTTAGTTTTACTCTGTTTTCCCTTACTTCTGTGTGACTTAGCAACTTAATTTAACCCTAAAAATGTTTAAGAGAACAATTCCTTTCAAACCTATTTTTTGTCTTTCAAATCTCATTTTCTAAGCGCTATAGTTGGTTCAGGCAGTCTTCCTGTCTGTGTTCCTTTGATCTTACATACGGCAGAAATACTGCTCTAAGTTTTACCTTCTAGCTTCAAACTATAGCTCCATTCATGTATTAGTAAAGATATATTTATGGTAATTCAAAATTTAAATTTCAGTAAAACTGGATCAGTCTACTTCACTGAGACAGTTGATGAGCCGTAGGAAAGAACGTTATAAAACTGTGACGTCCATAACAGTTCCTGTTTTCAAAAAAACTCATGCTTATTGTTATCGTTACCATTTCGGAGATTTCTGAACACTATTCAAATCACTAAATTTCTGCATATTAAGATGTATAGAAATAGTTAGGACTGAATACGTTTAATAGTTTTCCTGTAGACACTAAGATGTTGACAGTGCTTGATGTGGATATTTACAAAACTATGACACTGAACACTACACTACATGAATATTGTAAATATTTGTTGTCTGTTGTCTAAAGTTCACGGATATTCTTTCGTAGCCATTCCCTTTATTTTGCGGATAGAGGAGTTGATCCGGATTGGAGTGGAACGAGGTTTTAAAGCCTATTGTTGTATTATATATTCTGCTTTACGAGTTTATCTGCTTTTGTAGAAACACGCTGTGCTCCCTTTTTCGGAATATTGTATTCGTTGTTTCTTTATCGTTTTTCAATCTTGTTGTATGAGAATTTATCTCCGGAAAAGATTTCTATATATAAAAATCAAGTCGTAAGTTTAACCGTATTGGTATTACCTTGTCGGTATAGTCGAGAAGTTGCCGTGAATCAAATATGACTCCCCGTGAAGCCACAGCTTACATCTGCGGCGAGACGCCACTATATTAGTATTTAATTTCGTTCAAATAAAGTACAGTTAACCCGCTGTATAACACTGGATGTAAACAAGGTCATCAAGGACATAGTTTTTGTTGATTCAAAATAGTTGTCCATACATAAGCTATGACAAATAGTTTGAATATGTAAACTTTAACATACGACATTCAAATAAAGTACAGTTAACCCGCTGTATAACACTGGATGTAAACAAGGTCATCAAGGACATAGTTTTTGTTGATTCAAAATAGTTGTTCATATATAAGCTATGACAAATA